CTCCGCCCCTTCCAGTCCCTCCCCTTCTCCTCATTGGCGGCCGAACCCTTCGCCCTGGGGGGGCACCCGGGGGTGGTCCTGGCCCAGCCCTTCGGGGGGGCCTGCACCCTCCTGGAGTGGGACCAATTGGCCGGACGGTTCCGGGCCCCCACCATCATCAACGGTGAGTCCTGACACCCCCCATCCCTTCTCCCCCCCCAAAAAATCCCCCCACCTCAGGAAGGGGGAACCCCAAAAAGATCCCCCAGAGCTCCGCCCCTTCCAGTCCCTCCCCTTCTCCTCATTGGCGGCCGAACCCTTCGCCCTGGGGGGGCACCCGGGGGTGGTCCTGGCCCAGCCCTTCGGGGGGGCCTGCACCCTCCTGGAGTGGGACCAATTGGCCGGACGGTTCCGGGCCCCCACCATCATCAACGGTGAGTCCTGACACCCCCCATCCCTTCTCCCCCCCCAAAAAATCCCCCCACCTCAGGAAGGGGGAACCCCAAAAAGATATGGGGGGGACACCAAAAAGGGGCTGAGGGGCCTCAAAAAGGGACAGAGGGAACTCAAAAATGACCTGGAGGACCCCAAAATTGATCTGGAGGACCTAAAAGCCCATGTTTTCACCCAAAAAATGGGCTGAGGGGACTCAAAAATGGGCTGGAGGAGCCAAAATCCCATGTTTTCACCCAAAAAATGGGCTGAGGAACCTCCAAAAGGGTCTGAGGAACTTCAAAAAGGGTCTACAGGACCCAAAATCCCATGTTTTCACCCCAAAAATGGGCTGAGGAACCTCCAAAAGGGTCTGAGGAACTTCAAAAAGGGTCTACAGGACCCAAAATCCCATGTTTTCACCCCAAAAATGGGCTGAGGAACCTCCAAAAGGGTCTGAGGAACTTCAAAAAGGGTCTACAGGACCCAAAATCCCATGTTTTCACCCCAAAAATGGGCTGAGGAACCTCAAAAAGAGGCTGAGGGACCTCCAAAATGGGGTGTAGGACCCCAACGTCCCCAACGTCCCTATGGTGCCACAACCATCACCCCCACCCCAATGTCCCCAATGTCCCCATAGAGTGGTCCTCAACCCCAACGTCCCCGATGTCCCCATGGAGCCACCACCATCACCCCAACCCCGATGTCCCCATGGGGCCACCATGGTCACCCCAACCCCAACATCCCCAACGTCCCCATGGGGCCACCACCATCCCCCCCCCC